CCACAAAAGAGCTTACAGGGAGAATCAGGCCTAGGACAAACACATGAAACCAAGATTAAAAATGCCTCCCATTAGCTGGGTGTGGTGGCATACAACTTCAATCCCAGTACTAGGGAAGCAGAGGGAGGCAGATCTCTAAGTTTGAAGCCAGCCTGCTTTACAGAGCAAGTGCTAGGCCAGTAAGGACTACAAAGAGAGACCCTGTCTCAAAAAGCAGAGTAAGAGAAAATAAGAAAAAGAAAATACAACTTCTTGTTATAAGTGAAGCAACTGTACACTTCCTTTGTATACCTACAGAAGTTAAATATTCAATATTGAAAATATTCAAGTTAAAAACAGTCTACTCAATGGATCTATTAAAGATAGAAAATGATATAATCTTAGAAATACACTACCTATGATTAGAGGACGTCAGAAATGGATTCTGTTGTCCTATAAAAGCAAGCTTTAGAAATAAACTAGCAAGCAGCATGTCAAGCCGAGCAGCGTAGGAGTGTCAGAAGGAAAAGCAAAGACATTCATCGAGGTCCCAGTGCATGGCCTTAGTGGATTTCTTCACCCTCACAGTGTATTAACATCTGTTCAAAGCCAAATTTTACTCTGCATAGAACACATTAGTATATGTTACGGCATAGTTACTAAAACTGAGATTCAAATATGTCTTATCAGTGCCACTCAATAGTTATTAGTATGTCTTATCAATTCCACTCGAGTCTTTCCCACTGGAAAGCAGTACAAACATATGACTTTGCTCACAGTTTGACAGCTGAAATCACAACATAATTAACATTTCCAGGGAACATACCATGCACCAAGATTGCTAAACATTAACCATTACTATTTTCCCCAAACCGAGGGCAGTACTAGGAGATAGGTGCTTTTTGTAGATGGCAAAGCTGAGGCCAGAACAGTAGGCAACCCACTCAAGGGCATAGCTGGTAGGTCCCTGGGCACAGGCTTCTTAGGAGAAATGCTGGAGCGAGTAAGAACATGTAAGCAGAGCAGCAGCGTTAGGTCAAACTCCGAGGAGTGGAACAACTGGCAGGGAGAGACGTGTTCTTGCATAAGGTGGAGGAGAATAAACCACGGAGGCCAGGAAACACATTTCCAAGAGAACAGATTTGAGAGTAAAAAGCATCTGGACATGGTAAAAACAGTTGTAGGCATTAAGAAGCCAGATAGTGGCGCAGTGTCCTAGAAAGACCTGGTCCAAGAGAAACCAGACTACAAGTACATGGTCCTGTGAAGCCTATGAGGTTTTGGGGATCTGCCTCTCCTGTTTCCCTATGGGGTATTTTCCTATTGCTTTCCTCTGATGCTCCCTTCCCCAGAGGCCAGCATCCGTGTGTAGGGGTTGTTCTTATTTATGACATAATTCAGTATCTAGAGCAATGGTTCTCAACCTTACTAATTGTGGGACCCTTGAATACAATTACCCGTATTATGGTGATCTCCAGACATGAAATTATATTCATTGCTACTTCTTAACTGTAATTTTGCTACTGTTATAAATCATAAGTATCTGATATGCAGGATGGTCTTAGGAGATCCCTGTTCAAGGGTCGCTTGACACTCTTCCCCCTAGGGGTCACAACTCACAGGTTGAGAACCACTACATTTCTACATTAGATGATACTAACTTGACTAGAATAGCTTATATTCTTATAGCTTATATGAATAAGCTATTCTAGTCAAGTTAGTATCATCTAATGTAGAAATTGTCTAACCCTAGAAAACACTTTTTTTGTTGTTTGTTTTTCTTTGTTTGTTTGTTTGTTTTTCTGAGACAGGGTTTCTCTTCGTAGACCAGGCTGGCCTTGAACTCAGAAATCCGCCTGCCTCTGTCTCCCAAGCGCTGGGATTAAGGGCGTGCACCACCGCCACCCGGCTTGGAAAATACTTTTTAATGAATCAACTTCTATAGGTGAGCATTTTATAGACGTAAGTGCAGGTACCCAGGCACTGCAGGATTATGATCCTTGGTCTTGGTGGTCAGCTTGACTGGACTCAGAATCACCTAGGAGACACCCTGTCTTTGGGCAGACATGTGAGACGTTATCTAGATTAAAGTTAGCCTCTGTGAATGTCTATAAAGGTCCATCTTAGTTTGGACTGGACCAATTCCTGGGCGGGATGCCAGGACTGTTAAATGGAAAGACAGAGCTGGGTACTAACATCCATCACTCTTTGTTTCCAGTCGTGGATGAGATGTGTCACGCTGCCTTGACTTCAGTGATGATGAGCTATACCCTTAAATTGTGAGCCAGAATAAATCCTTTCTTACATTGCTTTTGTGAGGGTATTTTACAGACGGTGGTGTGTATTGCTAGTTGCTAATGTAGGTCACAGAAGCTCTTTGTATCAGTGCCTATGACTTACTGTACATCTGATTGAGAATATTGTGAGAGGGCTGGAGAGATGGCTCAATGGTTAAGGGCACTGACTGCTCTTCCAGAGGTCCTGAGTTCAATTCCCAGCAACCACATGATGGCTCACAACCATCTGTAATGGGATCCGATGCCCTCTTCTGGTGTGTCTGAAGACAGCGACACTGCACTCAAATACATAAAATGGGTAAATAAATCTTTAAAAAAAAAAGAGAGAGAGAGAATATTGTGAGAAATACCATGCTTGCTATATTGTAAGCTTTTCCCTAAGCATTAATGTAAAGGCAGTTAGCAACTGCAGAGAACTTGCAGAGGGTGTTGCTCAGTGGTGGGGTGTGTGCTTGTTACCACACGTGATGCCCTGGGTTCAGCTGCTGAAACTCCTCTCAAAAGACAGGGATGGGGGAGAGAAGTAGAAAGCACTTTTCAAATGTGAGTGTACATCAGTCAGTCAGCCTGGTAAGAGCGTTCTTTATCTCCGACCCATTACTATAGTCCTCAGAGTTCTTACCTTCTGTGTTGAGAAATAGTAGTTGCAGTATGTGAAGTCTATGCAAGTACTTTACAGCTTGTACGAATCCATGAAAATGTTTTGAGTTTCGTTTGGGGATGTACATATCATAAAACTTTGAGCTGCTTTACAGAACCAGTGGTTGCATCTCAAAAGAGGGTGGGGACTCAAACGGATAATTATGAAAATTCAGACTATAGATAAATAGGTAGGTAGTGGATGGATGGATGGATGGATGGATGGATGGATGGATGGATGGATCGGGAGAGAAGATAACTACTGATAACTACTCAGGAAACCAGTGAAATTTCAGTTAGTTGGATTCTATTTATTTTTGAGATAAGATCTTATATAGCCCAAGCTAGTCTCGAACTTGCCCAGACTGGTCTCCAACTTGCTATGTAGTTAAGAGTGGCCTTGAATTTATAATCCTCCTACCTCCCATGTGTTTGAATTTCCAGCCGCATGCCACCACACCAGGTTTATTCGGTGCTGGAACCCAGGGCCTCATGCATGCTAAACAAGCACTCCTACTGAACTAAATCCTCATCCCTGAGACTATTGTAAAATAGGCCTCCAAGCTGGGCCTGGACCTTTAAGCCCAGCACGTGGAAGGCATCCTAGTCTAAATAGTGAGTCCCGGGCCACCCAGGGCTACACATAATAAGACCTTTCCTGGAAAAATAATATCCATAATGGGACCAGAATATAGACCTTTATTAAAGAATATTCTTTTATCCCTGCCCTTTCTTTGATTGAAAAATGAATATGGCTCAGGTAAGGAGCCTTTGGCTTCCTACTGTTTGAGTCTGACGGAGTCATACATATTATAAGAAAATGTTTGAAATAAATGCCAGGCAGGGTGGTCCACATCTGTAACCCCTGCCCTGGAGAGGTAGGAGGACCCCTGCATATTTAAGGCCAGCTTCCTTTATATGGCTCATTCTAGGCAGTTAGGGTTACTTAGATAGACTTGCCTCAACAAAAGCTTCCTAGTGTATCTGTTCTACAAAATGTCAGAGGACTGTCTGCTTTTGATAGGTAATTCAGCACACCCCACAGCCTACAACTATTGTCTGCCATTGGAGACTGTAGCACTATGCAGTACTTGAGGATGCCTGATTGGGGAGAGATCAGCACCCACATATACCTTAGTGGAAAAATTGACCAGACCTTTGGCAGTGTTGGGACTCCTAAAAGAACATGACTGGCTTAGCTCACGCTCACAGTAAGTTCCCAACACTGACAAAAACATACATGGTAGAAACAGAAAACTGGAATAAGACAAAATTCTTCAGCTGGCAGGGCATGCATATTTATACATTCTTCTGTGTCGAGCTCAGTGGTTAGAGAATGCTTCCTGGCAAGACTGCAATACACAAATGTTTTCAATTTGAACTAGCACATTTTCCCCCATCTAATTAGCGTTGAGGATAAATTCCACAGCCCTGGAGAGGGCTTGGCCCAAGTTTTTAAGACCTAGGCTAATGAAGCTCAGGTTCGGGACTGGACAGTCATATGGACTTGTGGGGCTGTTTCCTATGAATGTCTTTTTTTTTTTTTATCTTTTTTTTATCTTTTTTTTTTCCTATGAATGTCTTAATAGCTGTGTAATATTGCTCTGGAGAGTTATTTTGTTTCCAAACAACTGATGCACTTGCACAGGCTACTCTGTGCTTGCAAATGTTCAAAACTTTAAGTTTGGCAAACTCCTTGGTTTTGATGAAGAGGAGAGCCTTGTGAGCATAGAAATAGATTAGAGTGATGCTTATATATTAAAATAAGACTTGCCCTGGGTGTAGTGGTACATTCCTTTAACCCCAGCACGCTGGAGGCAGAGACAAGCAGATCTCTGAGGATTTGAGGACAGCCTGTTCTACATATTTCCAGGACAGCCAGGTCTGCATAGACCCTGTCTCAAAAGACCACACACATGAAATTGATAGCTAGAAGTAGAGTTCAATGGAGTTCAGTGATAGAACGTACACTTAGCAAGAGGAAGGAGGCACTGGGTTCAGTTCCAAGCAACACCAACAGTACTCAACAAGCAACACCAACAGTATTCAACAAATACCCAAGACCTTATGTGATCTATAAGGACAAGATTTGCTTAAGTGTTTTTTGTTTCTTCTCTCCACTATATGAACAGAAAATTCAGAGGAAAGACTTTGTTCATGGTGGTGTAGTCTGACATGTCTAGCGATAGCCAACACTACTACCCATCAGGTCACGGAGGTAGAGGAGCTAGGTGTGGACTTGTTCTAGGTTGATGGCAGGGAAGGGAGCTACCGTAGGCACAGTTGCCCCTCATTTAGCACTGTGAAACCTGAAGTATACTCCACCCTGCCCATCCTCAGCAGTGCTTACAGGCTTGGTTCTGACTAGAAGACACAGTTGTTCTACTTTATGGGTGCCTTGCTTAGGTGCTCAGAGTCTGTCACAATTGTGTTGGACCTATAGGGGAAAATATGGATGTCATTTGTTCATCAGTGCAAGTTTAGTCATAGACTGTAATCATTTTGGAGTAGGAAAATCTCCATTTCTGCCTTTGTCCCAGCCCTGTCATTCATGGCCTCTGAGGCCCTGTAGAGTGTATGCTAACCTCAGTTTTCTCCACAGGTTAAACAAAGTGGACCAGATGGTCCCCAAGGTCCCTTTTGGGCTTTCTCATGAAGTTCCATTTATGTATATATTTGTATGCATGACAGTTGGGGCACCAGTACATAGGCCACATAGGACTGTTAGGACAGTCAGCTGACCCAGTGTCAGTCTGTCCAGCAGACAGATGCAAGCCACAGCAATGCCGAGGTCCTTTAGGAAGTTTGCAGAAGCCATCGGTGAATGTCTTGGATGATGAAGCACTCCTGAGTGCCCACCTGATCAGATGGCAGTGCCACTCTGCAGGTGCCTTGTTGGTATGGATTTTTCCTGTTGGAGATCCTGAGTGGCAGCATGAGTCCAGTGTACACAGTCTTTGGTTCCTCCACAGTCCTGACCGATCCTGTACCCTGGCATAAGGACCAATGAGGTACCCACAGTTCAAAATTTCTTGGAGTTTTTTTGGTTTTTTGTTTTTCAAGGCAGAGTTTCTCTGTGTTGCCTTGGCTGTCCTGGAACTCATTTTGCAGACCAGGCTGGCCTCAAACTCACAGATCCACCTGCCTCTGCCTCTCCAGTGCAGGGATTAAACCTGTTTACCACCACCACTGGGCTATGAATCTCCTTCCAGAGTTACAGAAATACCAGGAAATTGTCAGCATGCCATAGCACTTAATGACTTTTCAGCCTTCTGATTCCAGACTTGCATTCCTCTCCCAATAGACTACAAACACAGTGATAGACTTAGTTACTGCACTGTAGTTACAGAGTCTCGGATGATTCTGGACAAGAAAACTAGTATTCAAAATGGCAGTTGCACTTATGGGAGGGGTTCCTCTTGTGCTTTCTTCTATGACTACAGCTAAACTGCTATTTATGACAAAACTTGGGCCACCCTGGGCCCGTCTGCTCATTTTGTCTGATCTTTGTCTTTGTAGCCAAGGCTATCCTTAAGTTCCTGATCCCCCTGCCTCCACCTCCCATCTTGGAATCCCAGTCCTGTAACGTCATACTTGCCCTCGTTTTGTTTGCTCTTAACTTGGAAACAGTCCCGGGGGATAGCTGGAAGATTTGAGTATCTCTGGGATGTCACTGTCCAGTTTTGAAATAATTTTGTAAATGGGTTTCTTCCAGGAAGGATCTGAATCTTTCCCTGCAGAGACGGCCTTGAAGAACTCCTGTAATGTCAAGGTGGCAATTTCCAAGAAGCAGTCTGGGACCTGCAGCCCCAAAGACACCCCCAAGAAAAGGAAGGAATGAGGCTGGAAGTGCTGGCACCATGGAGAGCCCATTGGCTGCTGCTGCCTGCCTGCTGCTGCCTGATGCTGGTTTAGAGTACCCTGCTCTGCTGCCCTGGGTTCTGCAGCCCAAGACTACCCTGTTTCCTAGTGAAACTCAGCCCTTAAGTGACCATCCAGGAAGACAGTCTTGGGAGCGGGCATTAGAGTCTTTCGGGACTTGTTGATTCCACCGACTGGGTATGTTTTAATGACTATGTGGGAAATGAGAGGTTTGAGCTTTCTCTTCCTTAGACCTGTTGTGAGAAAGGCTGTCCTCAGGCTTATGGCTGCCATTTGCTAACCATTATGAGAACACACACGTTAGATCTTGTGCACGTCTTACCTCAAAGTCACTCCCCTTGTTGTAGTGTGTATTGAGAACTCGAAAAAGCTCCGAGTCTCGGAGGACTGCCAGCGCTTGGGCATTCGTGACACCGTCTGAAAGTGCTTGCCGGGCGTACTTTTCCATCTGGATGTAATAAAATTCACGGAAGTTGCTGAACCACTTGATCATCTGGGAGGTGATGCAGCGGTTGAACTGTGTGAACAAAGGATTTATATCAAGTCAGACATTTGCGGCGGGGTGCTCAGAGTCAGAACTGTCAGCGTGAGATTAATGTGAATTGGCCTCAAACACTAACCATTTTTCCTTCAGAAAAAGAAGCCGCAGGTACTGGCCAATCCCATGCAGTTAAACTAAAAAATTCAGTATTTACTAGAAAATAGATGTTATGTCTATAAAAGACTTTTAGGCTTTTGTCCATGTGTTTAAGCATGACTTTGCCTTTGTCCCTTAGAGCCCGAGGGGTAACTGGCCAAGGGGAATGGTAAGGGTGTGGGTCAGGGAGCAGACTCCTGACTAGAGTTACAGAAGGACTGGAAATGTGAAGGAGTATTTACTGTGGGGATTGCAGAGACTGGCCTGAGGTATGCCCTTACCTCGCGACTGAGAGTAGTGGATCTCAGAAACTGCCTGTGAGTACATGCGGGGTTTGGTTCTAACATTCAGTTTGATTTTCCTTACGGTTGCACTAGATCTGTATGTACTTCCACTCAGTTTTGAAACACACAGCAGTCAGAATGTAAATAGGATGATGTCTTATAAATATTTTGAGTAGGAATCAAACCATGTCCTTATGCATGCTAGACACATGCTGTGCCAATGTGCTACTGCCTTATACTGCCTTAGCCCCTTACATTTCATGTATTTCCTTAGTGGTTATCCTCTCTCTCTCTCTCTCTCTCTCTCTCTCTCTCTCTCTCTCTTTCTCTTTCTCTCTCTCTTTCTCTCTCTCTCTTTATTACTTTCTTTTTCAGACAGGATTTCTCTGCATAGCCCTGGTTGTCTTGGACCAGGCTGGCCTGGAACTCAGAGATCTGCCTGCCTCTGCCTCCTGAGTGCTGGGATTAAAGGCGTGCACTACCACCACTACCTGGTTCACATTCTTTTTCTTAAAAAAAAAAAAAAAAAGCCTATAGATGGTAGAGCTCTTGCCTACTATGCCCAAGGCCCTGGGTTCAACCCCCAATTTAAAAAAAGATTTATTTTTATGTGTATGAGTAAACCTGCATGTATGTATGTATGTATGTATGTATGTGCACCACATACATGTAGTGCCTACAGAGGCCAGAAGAGGGCATCAGATTCCCTGGACTGGAGTTAGAGATGGTTGTAAGCTGCCATGTGGGTGCTGGGATGCAGACCTGGGTCCTCCCCAGGAGCAGCCAGTCCTCTTACCCACTGAGCCATGCCTCTAGCCTACTGCATTATTTTTCATAAGGTCTCCACCTCCTAGACCAGAGTCCCCCTCTACCTCGATGTCCGATCTACTGCTGGAATTGTCAGCTGCCCAAAGGCCCAAGCGTTCTGAAACCTACTCTTTCCTAGGGCAAGGAGATCCCAGGGTTTTTTTTTTTCCAGGCAGTCCTGGAACTGGAAATTTCATCAGTTTCATCAGTAACACGAAGGGCACGTGAAAACCTAGAACTTCCTCACACTGGGCACAACACACAGCAACTGAGTATTATACAGGGGCTGCAGCGCAGTGTGGGACTTTACCTGAACATCAGGGAAGCAAGCTTTCAGGAGGCTGGAGCTGGGGTACCGCGTGAAGAAAAACATGAGTTTGGCCTTCTTCAGGTGACCGGGGCTCAGGCCTTCCTGGATGTGTTTTGGTGTCAAGGAAAAGAGCATTTTTAAAACCCGAGCTTGCATCCTGTCTCAATGGCTGCTCTACAAACATGGGGAGCATTTCTGCAAGACCTGCGGCAAGCACCACCCTACAAAGCAACGTGGCGTAAGAAGCAGGGGATCCTCCATCTGCCCAAGGAAAGCAGCCTTTATGATAGGGAGCAGTGTGGTTTTCGGTGGGAGCAGCCTGAGCCCTTCAACTAGAACTACCAAGAAGACTGTGTCGAGACCTGACTACTTAGCCGAGCTGCAGAGCAAAGCCAGTTCTGGTGTTAGGAGATGCGAGCATGTTGAATGGAAAGACAATAAAAGGGGGAAGTGATCCAGTCTAAGCCAATATTGTTACTAAGACAATAAAATCATGAGGTTTATTTTTTTAAAGTTTTAAACTCTGTGGTGATGCACACCTGTAATCAGTCATTTAGAAAGTAGAGGCTGACAGGTCAGAGGTTCAAGGTCATCTAGTTTTAGAATTCATGAGACCCCGTCTCGAAAAAAAGTTAATAAAATAATAACCATCTCATCAAATAATTTTACCAGATTATCCAAGTAATGATTGCCGATTCCCTGTGGTTTCTACTTTAGTTTTTTTTCTTGACTTCCTGGGGCATTTGCTGTGATCTCTTTGTCTGGAAGCTGATGAGATAACCTGTAAGCCATCCCATCATTCTGTGGCACAATTCTCAAGTACCTTGGTATGTAAAAGTCACACCTCATGGATTGTGTGGCACTGGTGCAGCTCCTGTAGCCGGGGTGCTTTTTCAGAATGGGCTAGGAGAAGACAGCTCTGCCACAGACAAACCACTTGGGAACTTCAGGTAGTGACTTTCTTCTGTTCCACCTCAATATTCTATAAAATAAGAGAGCAGTCACCTCTGTGATCTCCATTCTGGCCTTGAGAAGTGTGAGCCAGGAGACATGTAGCCAGACAGATATCATGTCCCATCATGCTCCTGCTCTCTTGAGAAGTTTGTGCCCTGGGCTATTTCTGCCGTACCTAGTACATGGCAGAACTTCCCCTTGTCTGCTGAGCCAGAGCTCACAGGCTCCCTGTACAAGCCTCTACTATGACATGAAACTCAGTTACTGCAGGTGTTGTCTCCCCCGATTAGACTGTGAGCTCCCCGAGGGCAAGGGCTTTATCTTATCTCTGTGTGCTCCACACACCCTTCCCAGTGCCAGGAACATAGTAGTGCGTTCAGTAAATGCACATTAAAGGAGTGAGCGGATGGTCAGTGCTAAGCCAAAAATACGCATATGGAAAATTATACTTCAGGCCACCTCACCCCCTAAAGACAGATTTGCTTCCTTTTAACTCTGCCAGGGGTTCTGTGGGGCTGCCCCTAGTGCATGTGAATATCTAGAGTAAGCCGGGATGGTCCTAAGGCTGCTAAGGAACATTCCACAGAGTAACCTTGGGCATCACATCCATTCACTGTGGCTGTAGGACAGTGATCCCAGTAAGAAGAATCCACTGAATGTAGCTGTCTAGTCTGTTGTGTGGAAGACCCTGCCCCCTGTCTCCCTGCCTTCTGACCCTGCCTCATTGGTTCATAAAAACTGAAAATCTAGATTTGGGAACCCAAATTTCCTAAGTTAGGGTACTGATTTGGCTACTTATTAGCTGTGTGAGCTGGGGCAAGTCACTTAGCTTCTCTGGGGTCCTTTCTAAAATGTGGTACAGTGGTTAAAACTTGGGCTGGGCAGTGATGGCCCAAGCCTTTAGTCCCAGCACTTGGAAGGCAGAGGTAGGTGGATCTCTGTGAGTTTAAAGCCAGCCTGGTCTACAGAGCAAGTTACAGGACAGCCAGGGCTACACAGAGACAAGCACTGTCTCAAAACAAAACAAAAACAAAACCCTTGTGCTTTGCCCATCAGATCCTGGGTTTGAAACCTGCATCCTGCCGGGCAGTGGTGGCGCATGCCTATAATCCCAGCACTTGGGAGGCAGAGACAGGTGGATTTCTGAGTTCGAGGCCAGTCTGGTCTACAGAGTGAGTTCCAGGACAGCCAGAACTACACAGAGAAACCCTGTCTTGAAAAGACAAAAAAAAAAAAAAAAAAAAA